TGCCTCGGCACGAAGTGGTTAAGTATTATTCTTTTCAATTGGTGTTATCAAACAAATCCTCATTTTTTACCTGTGTGTGACTTCTGATCACCTATCTCCCGGCACATGGGCTTCAGTATCAGCTGCAGATAGCGCGGCAACTGCTCCCCTCCAACATCCACCGACATGGCCGCCAGCCACTTAACCGTGCAGGTCCGCCTCAGCGTCTGTTTGGGGGTCTTGGCCGCCTCCCAGGCAGCTATCCGGCACACCTTCTTCGTGATCCAGGTCAGGTCTGTGACGACTTGACTTCCAGTTCTGTTCTTCTCTTTGCCAGTGCCCACCGACTCCTCAGGGATCTTGGAAGTTCCCTCACTGATGTTGTTCTCCTCTTCGTCTCCGCTGTCTGAACTCTCCTCTGTTTGATTCTCACTGTCCTCAGGATGCAAACAACGGATGACTTTGCCGAGGAAAACCAGATTTCTCACAACCTAACACGAATTCGGATGTCAAAATAATTCGTAACTTGAGCACAACATCCTGACCATGCATAGAGAAGACAAACAAATCCAGCCCAGTGTGCTGAGAAGATTCCATGTTTTGACCTTCCTAGTCCATAATCCTTCAAAACCCTTCAAATTTTTCAGACCAATTTTGCCCATAAAGTCAGCACCTTTGCAAAACCCTTAGAGATCATTTCCTTTCAAGCGTGCTTTGCCTTTCATTGCTTGTGTGGTAAGCTCGAAGTAAACAATTGAACTCCCTTGCACAATTCTCTACACTCCACATGTGCTTTGGCCCTGCAGACCTCTGCCAGGAAACTCTGCTTCACAGTGAACTAGGAATTTCAAGGCCGTCACATGTAGAAATATGAAGTGGTGAGAACTTTAGATTTCAAAGGAGGATAAAAGCACCAGAGCCACAAGCTCATTGTTGGTCAGATCTGATCTGTTCAAGACCAACTTTGACACAGAAATAGAGGGAACAAACAAACAGCAGAATGCAAGCACTCACATGGAACTGTTGTTAATAACATCCTCAACACTTCCACATGCAAATCTCAAACTATTCAAGGGACCTTACCTGATCTCCTAGATCCTTATTCAGCAAGGTCGAATGAAGCTGCCTGCAAAATCTGAACACCAGCTCCCTCACAACATCCTGTCCGTGGTTCAGTGGGTACTCCAACGCCCCTATTCTACCTTTAGCTCCACTCCTTTCTTCCTCTGTCTCCTCCGCCTTCCTCTTGCGTTTCGTCCTTTTGGGAGTTTGTTTCTCACTGACTGGGGAGTGGTCGGTCTGCGTATCAGACGCAGCTTTCAGCATGGCCCCGGCGATGTTGTTTGGCTGCTTAGAGGCAAACAGGTCGCCAAAGAGCTGGGCCGAGACCAGACGCACCCAAGCGTGGGGGTGGAGAAGGTGAGATTGGATGGAGTCTGAAGTAGGGAAGAAAAGATCCGATGATGGCGAAGCAAACAGTGCACTGTCAATAAACATGACTGAGGCAGAAACAGTTTCACAGCTAAAGTCACATCCGTTGTTTGAAACCGACAAAGATCTCGATCTGGCTAAAGACAACAGATTCAGACAGGGCGTCATTAAACATCTGACACCGTTTTATTTTTTAAAATTCCTGTTGCTGCTTTTCTTTATTCTGAATTAAGAGCAGACTAGCCGGATTTTCTATTGCTATTTATCTACTGCGGTTTATCACTGGTGGCATTTTATACATTGACCAATTACAGACTTCAATTCAAACTGTACCCCAGATTGCATTCATGGTCTCCGTGTATGCCTTGTTGCCGATAACTGAACAATGCTTGATCATCTTGGCCAGAGCTGAAAGCACGTTGAACAGCATGTGGTCTGCATGCCTCTCCTCCAAGGATACTTCTTCTGTCTCCATTTCGGAGATGCCATCCTATGAGATCCAAAAACACACACCCTGCTTACTTAGCCAATCTTCATGCATGGCAGGTCTTGTTAGGTTGAAGCTAGTTACTCTTAGCTTAAAGCCAGATAGGGCGTTCGGCCATTCCCTCGGACCTACCTTCTGCAGTTCATCTGGTCGGACCAGCTTCTCAATCTGGGGCAGCATACCGTCCAGTCGCCGCTGGAAGCCCTTCTCCTCGGCATCCACAAAGATGCCGCAAAGCTGTGAGGCTAGGCGCCGGTGGGCTGGCTTGTCGTCTTGTAACCAGTGCCTTGCCATGGTGAACAGCTCGTCTCTCTTATCCACCCGCAACTGGGTGACAGTGAAAGAAACGTTCACAGAAACCAATTTTTATTTTCATTCTCTCTGTGAAAATGCTTTAGTTCATCGTTAGAACTTCACAAATTCAGATACTGAACATCCAAGATTTGCTTTCGCTGAATGCATGGAATATTCCTTTTTTCTCATGTAGCTGAGTATTCATGATGAAAAGACTGATTTTTCTCGCACTGTGGACACCCTTTAAAGCTGGCTTCTTGTTGATGGTTCCTTGACAGTTCCGTTTCCTTTTGCTATGGTAACCCTAACCACAAACTGCCTCGAAACCTGTTTTCAGAGAAGGAGCAATGTGTGGACTTGGTCCAGTCCACACATCTTCACTACCTATGTTGTGTGGACATCTTCTCAATGTCCACACAAGGCACAGCACACTTGTACACATTAGTGAATGCACATACTTCTTCCATGGTTGTGGGGACAAGAGCATGTTATATCACCTATTTTGTGGGGACTGTAAACGTTGCGGGGACAGAGAAATATCCTTACAGCTTGGTCCTAATTCGCCTAACAAAAGAAATCGTCACCTTAACATGGTGAAGACCTGCACTGCTATGCCAGAGAGAGCAAGGCAATGTGTTTCTCTCTGTTCTTTGTTACAAGGCTCTTTCTCATAGACTGAGAACACACGCTTAATTTCACAGACTGGTTTTTAATCAACTGGCAATCAAGGACAGGGAAAAATCCTCTGTTCCCTTTTGTATGTGTACGTCCTCAATGGGTACCTTCCAGAGCTAAACTTTCTACATGAACAATGCCTTGAACAGTTACTTGGCAAGCAAAGAAATGAAAACATATCCTTGCCTACGGCAATCCCCAAAAATTCTGTTAAAGGGACAAAAATTTGATTGCTACCTTCTGCAGCAGTGACTTGATGGCCAGAGCAGTGATCTTGCGACATTTAGCAGAGTCATCGTTGATAAGTCTTGTTGCCATGGGAATAAAAAACATCCCGGCATATGTCTCCAAAGTTTTCTGCAAGCAGGGATCAGAGAGAAAGCAGACCCTTTCAACTGTAAATGAAAGGCTGTGTGAGTCGGTTCTGGATAAAAATGTCCACCAGATAAAATTGCTCACCTGCGGAAAGGATGAGAAGATAGTGGCGAGCATCTCCAGGGTGGACTCGCGACCTGTCTCAAGGTCAAAGTTCAGCTGGATGACAAAGAACTGCAGGTAATGTTCCAGCTGGCTGCCCAGAGGGTAGTCTAGGAGGAAATTCAGCACAACCTGTGGACCAAGAATGAGTGGCATTGTTTGTTGAATGTTCTTTCATCTTCACACAAAGAACCTTTCATTGCACAGCACACTGAAGAAAATCATCAGCATGAAAACCAAGGACAGATTTGTGCTGGATACAAATGCTTGAGTTTAACCATATGCTGCCGGGGAGCCCAGTTTCGGGCACAAAGGCTTTACACACAAAGCCGGGGAGCCCGAAACCTTGTAACGAAAGACCATACTCGGAACAGAAGACCCAGCTGCTGGGAATTGCCAACCTTTTTTTCAGTTGTCAAAACGAGAGGAAATCCGTCCTTATTTTGAGAGATTATACCACTGTTTGTGGCATTCAGCATGAACGGATTACCACTGTTTATGGCATTCAGCACGAGTGGATTACCACCGGGGACAAAAGCGCTCCAGTGATAAGCAATACAATACCACTGCATGCTAATCTGGCCCCTATTGAAAAGATGGCAGTAGCGCACTGTGCCAGTTTCGGAAATAAAAGAAAGTTACATAACACTGTACAATTTGGGCTCTTTTTTACAAGGCGGCAGGCCTGGCTGAAATACTCGAGCGTCAATAGATGTTGTCTGTCACATTAGAGTAGTCACCAGACAGTTATTCGTGTGGGTGTAAGCATCCAGTAAATGAAGCTATGATTTTTTTGAAGAATTTTGAAAATGGAAAATCTTGAAAATCTCCTAGTTTTACGTCATGCAACTTCAAATTCCACCCAGCAGCAAGTGTTCAATCTTTCAAGTTCATACATTTTTAAGTCTTTGCCATTTGTAAGCAGTTTGCGGCAAAGTGTCAATTTCTAATCAGTATAAATGTGATGTTTTGTTGAGGAAACAAGCTAACATGATAGCTTCACCCCATGCTATATCAACTTGGGTCATATTCATTTAGCTGTCACATTTCAGAAATCCTAGGTGCAACTTTTTTCATGGCAAAATGGAAAAGTAAATAAAAGAGCACACCTTTTCTGAACGGCATATCCAAATCCAGTTATCATAAAAATCTGAAAGCCAAAGTTTTTGAATATTGTACATGCTTCTCCTTCCTGATAATAAGAGATTATAATCACACTGACGACCGTTTAGGAGGCAGGGTGTTATTCTTTATCCAAACGTAAAAATTGCATTTCTCTTACTATAGAAGAACGGATCAAGCACATTTTTGAAAAGATGTTTTTCTCAATCCTTGTTTTTTCATGGTACAACAAATTCCTCAAGGAAAGGGAGTGTTCACAGAATGTTAGGAAAAAAAATGATCTGATTATGATCAGATCCCCTGGCAGACCATGAAATCCTACTTATGGGCAGAATGTAAAACTGCAAACCCTACATATGCTCTGCACACACTCTACCTGTCTGCATTGTAACCTGACTGAGGGACTCTCTGACATAATGGACAGCTTGGCGACTTTCTTCATGACACCGTGCATCTCAGGCACTATCAACTTCCTGGATAGGATTGCCTGGAAGGAAAAAAAGGCAGATGCAGTTGGATAAAGAGACTGACGGGTTCAAGAGGTCAAACAGGGAACCAGCTAAATACATAACTTGTGTTCTACCGCTGAGCTATCCAGCCCGACCCAGTGATGGTTGTTGAGACCAGTTGCAATGCAATGCGATAGCTTGCGACGTGAATTGAGACCAGAGGTCTGACTGGAGGTCTTGTGATGGTTTTACGATGGTCATAAGGGGTCTCCAACACTCCCGCCCTATGTTGGCTACCCTCAGGTCTCTTATAAGTACATATGATAGCAGTCTTTTTACTTCCATTGTTCAACTGCAAATTCGGTCCACGAAATTAAACAGATTTTCTGTCTTGCACTTGAAAACTGGGATGACATGGAGTTTTCCGAACCTGTCCACATTCTTGGTTTTATGGGTTTAAGTTAGGGGCAATGTTGTGAAGTACTACGTGGGCTATGATCTTGTACAGAGATAACATTGGACTGTGATCCTTCCTGTTCAAAAGAACACTGAATCGCAGATGGACTGCCATATCTTGGCTGTTTACCTTGAGAAGACCAAACGCCGTCGCTTGCCTGGTGTGGTCGTGCATGTCTTCTTCAGCGTATGTCAGGAGAACTTGAAGCTGTTTCTCATCGATGGTATGTTGCTTGACGTCGCGGACCAGAACTGTGACAGCCTGCAAACATTCAAACCAATTGATTTAATCTGGTTAACTTAAGGTTAATCAAAATTCAGTTCGAGGTTAAGCTTATTTACATTTTAATTCAACAATTAATCCCAGTCACATCAGTTAAAATATAATGGCCGCACTGTTACGTTTTCATGTGATTATTATATCAAAACAAGAGATGTTTATAAGGTATACACATATTCTGTTTTGATGATCTGACCTTGAAGCAGTTGACAACGATGTCAAAGTTAGCTCCTTTTGCTGCTCCGGCCGTGGCGTGGGTGTGAAGGATTTTGAAGAGTATCTTCGTCAGTCTGGTTGCATTTCTGCTGATTGAGGGCAGCGGATATCGCAACATCCAAGTGACACACCGAAGGGCCACTACAGTCACCTAAAACAGGGAATTTCATGTACACAGAATTAATGAAACGTGTGGGCCCTGCAACTTGGGGTAGATGTGACGTGGCACGTTCAGATGAATTCAGAAGAGATGCTGGAAAGAGTTGCCTCGGGAGTTGGGATTAGATTAGGAATTCTAATTTTTTGTTTTTCTCCAACAAGTGAAAACTGAAGGTGTTGTAAATTTCCCCACCTTGGTGAATTTGGAAGTGAGTGAGTCCATGAGGATTCGGATGAATGGATCCAACATCTGGAGGTGTTGCTGGTTGGAAGGAGACAACTTGGACCGCTTCAGATTCATGTTCAACAACTGAAAGGAAAAAAAAAAACAAGTCAGCACCAATGGTTGGTATCGACGTACATCTAGCTCTGTTTCTTGCAGGTCACAAGTTGCAGACTTTCCTATCTGAGAGGGTATTCACTGCAGAATTGAGGTTCCGATTTCCGGAAGCCAAACTGATAAAAACCTTGTAGCGTTCCTTACCTGCAGTCCAAACTCCACAATCAGGTGCATGTTGGTCTTCTTGCTGACTTTGGGCATTAACCCGCCCCTCTTGGGGGTGGGAAGGAGGAGATAACAGCTGGCTGGGCTAGTGCGCGGGTCGGGCGGGGGTTGTGAACCTACCCTGTCACTATCGGATGCAAAAAAAACAAACAAAACTTCAAGGGTCACCTTGAAGAATCAACATGTACAAACTTTGCTAAACATGAGTGCATTGATGACTATAAAAAAAAAAAAATGTGCCGCACTTCAAAGATAATACAGTGAACTAGAAAAACGAACAAGAAGGAAGTCACCGTTTCCTTCGTAAAATGATTTTCAGAGTATTAACATATTTTGTCAGGTAAAGCAATACCCAATTTTGGTGGAGTTAGACTTTTTGCAAAAGGAGAGTTCAACTCAATACATCTATTTCCATTCAGGCAAAATGTACCCAGTATGACTAGAGTAACTTCAACCGACAAGTTTTCGTTTAAAAAGTTTCATTTATTTGCTTAAATAACTTTTTGTGTTTAAAGGTCAACTGAAATGGGAAGCACACTTCTGTAACAATGCTAGCCAAACAACAATGAATGATCTTTATTATTGTTCCAATAATAAAGAATGGTTCGTAACCTGTCGCTGGGGTTGAGGAAGGGAATCGTCTCTGTTGCAAGTCCATGAATGTAGATCAACATGGCGTCAACAGGGATCCCTGGATTAGCTATCAGGCCCATGGTAACGTGTCTGAGGACATCCGTAGCCTTACGGACAACCTTGTGACTCTGGTTCGTCTCAAGAATCTACAAGAAAACGAAAAGAGTTTGGGATACTGTTGGAACCTTTTGGTTGAAAGTTAAAGATGGTTCTTTGAGAGCAATGTTACACCACTGACGAGTTGAATTGTTTGACATAAGAAGGGAACTACAAACGACAGTCTTGTTTCCTTGAGTGAGGTAACATTGAAAATTGTTTTATAAATGTGCAGTCGAGGAAATTGTCTTTGAAATAGAAGTGATGGTTTCAACAAAGTTACAACACTCCTACACAAATGCCATTTAAGTGTTGTCAGTTTTTCAGTATGGACACGACAACATCTGTTTGTTGCTTTTCTGAAGTCAACTTGAGCAAGAGCAAATTTTATCGAGTTGTTTCTACATGGGAGAGGGTGTGGGCTAAAGGTGTTAGGTAGGGGTGGGACTAGAACACAAAGTGGAACAAACCTCTTTCAATGGGATCAAAAGCCTGGTCAGTGAACTCTGACCTACGACCTTGGCTATCATCTCATAGCAGTCGTATCCCTTGATGCTGCGAGCTTCCGGCAGTTTACCCACAATGCCTTCCACTTCCTTCTCATCAGCAACATTGCCAAAGAGCTCCTTGTTGATTACCTACATTAAACAAAGTGCAAAAAGGTAAAACATCAAAGAGAAATCAGTAAGGTAAAAGTTCCAAGAGAAATCAGCGAGCAAATGCCAAAATGTTGCTGCTTCACTGAAGCTGAGGCTGCTAGTGCTCCTTCAGTCGTCGGTGTTGCTGTGGGAACTGCTGTCGTAGCTCATACTGCTGCTGTTCTCTGCTGTAGCTAGTGTTGTAGTCGGTTGATCCCAAATCAATCACATATCATCCAGCCGTAAGCCGTGTCCCAAGCTATTCAAATGAACTATGTCAAAAGCATTCCTTTGTTGTTGTTCACCTTGTTACATATAAATGGTCTTGAGACAGGACTTGGGACTGGACTTTTAGAACGACCTGCAAAGGGACTTGTGATGGATTTGACTACCACACAGGCTAGTAACTACTGCCGTCAATGCTGTGTTACTGCAATTGCTCTCGTTACTGTAGTTATTGCTACTGTTGTATGGTTTTGTTCACTGTCGCTGAAACACCGCCATGTCTACATGGATCCAGAAAGACTCGGTAGTTACCAAAGGTGAGACATACCACACCCTTACCTCGATCACTGAGTCCATGCTGGTGTCTAGATCCCCCGGTTTGAGCGTTGGCAAGGCGCTATGGAGGAGGGCGTGCAAGGTGAAACTCAGAACGTGGAGCTGGTTAAACGAGGGAACAAGTACGACAACACAATAATTACAGCAGGAAAGCTTAGTCCATCTTTGCTGACCGAGGCTGAAAGGGTGCAAATAACTGCTGCATACTGAACACAAAGGTTATAGACAGAGATATAATATATAATCAGCGCTCTGAACTGTGTGAATGCCGAGCTCTCGGTAACTGGGTACCTTCGTCAGGGCAAGCGGAGTCAGTTCTGCGCTACACAGCCCTTTCGTATTACAAAGACAAAGTTTATTGATCCATCTTGAGTAACAAGATCACTCATGGCAATCACGACCCATTATCACACATGAAAGAAAAATGTTGGAACAAGTTTATCAGTCACACTTTATGTGACGTCGTCTTCTTGTTACAGTCTTTAAAAATGTAACTTGGGCCTGGGATATTCCCAGTACAAGAGCATAACGCCTGACATTGTGAGTACAGGACTGAGACTACAGGACTGAGACTACAGTACTTCAGGTGGAGTGCAGCATTGAAGTCAAGTCCATTACAAATCATTCAGTCTAAGCCAAGTCACACTCTATTCAAATGAAGTGTGACAAAAGCCTTCCTTTATCATTGTTCACCAAGTTACGTTGTGACTGGTCTCATGAATGGACTTGTGAATGGAGTTGTGGTAGATTAAACGACAACGCTGGTAAAGTGATTGATTTTGACTACTGACGATAATCATCCCATTACCAAGACCTCAATAAGAAAAATAATCCATTTTGAGTTCTCACCTGATAGCCCCTTGTCAGGGCGTGGCGCAGCTCCTTCAGGATGAACGGGAAGTAGCCGACACCCAACGAGGCCAGGATCTTGACCAGTGTGTCGCGGCTGACATCCCGCACGTCCTTGGCCCGGCTCTTGAGCATCTGGCAGACCTTGAGCAGGATGCCCGGCAGATTGGCGTGGAGGGTCTGGCTGGGCAAGGCCTGCAGGAGCTTGACCATGGCCAGGGCGATGGGCACCCGCAGGACCTCCTCGTCCTCTGCCAGGCTGGGCCTGGCCTTCTTGTGGTGCTCCTCACTTGTGACCTGACGAGCGTGAAATGAGAGAATCAAAACTCTTGTGAGGTATGGACTTGTTGAAGACATCTGGCACAGAGCAATGATGATTAAAGACCAATTCACACTTGGCCCTGTTGGAAAGTGTGCACCAATTTTCAACTGAATGACAACAAAAAGTAGCATCTTCATAAGAATATTCCTGAGTATAGTGCATGACAACAGAAGAATGTAGGAGT